GCGTGACCTTCTTTTGATCAGTCCACGTACTCCCTGTCAATAATGTCTGGGATGTCCTATCCCCGAGATATGTGATATAGCCACTACGTTTTTACGTTAGGAATCAGGTTGCATGTGATTATCCTTTCCTTGAGCACTACGACATTCACGAAAAGCTTTCTCGCCTGCGCCTTTCCGTCCTGCGCTTGTTTCTACAACCATCTAAAACCCGCGCGAACGGACATGGTCTCAGCCTTTAACAGCCCCATTCACTGACCACTTAAAGTTTGGGCGTTAGCTATTCCCAGCCAAATTGCGGTGACATTTCGGAGCTGGCGCTGCCTTCCTGTCAGCGTGACCGCGCAGCCAGTGGGTCACTCGGATCGACGGCCTGACATGGAGCGTCAGCCGCGGTGACGTGCATCAACTCGGCAACGGGCGACCGCCCCGCATTTGGACCATCACCCCGCTGGGCCGGTCAGTCGCGTCGGCCAGCCGCCGTGTTCGTCCCCCGCACGGCCACGCCCGGCGATAATGGACGGCTCCCACGGTAGTCGGGCCGCTGTGCCCGGTGCCACGCGCAGCACCGGCTATGCTGTGTTTGTTCTCCATTATTGTGTTGCGCCGACCGCGACGAGTGCCGGTGCGGTAATTGCTTGCAAACATGGCCAGTACATAAGTGGCGCGAGCAGCGTCCTTGTGACGGCTCGCGCTCAGCTGCGGGCGACACCTGTGGTCTGTTCTACATACCGGAATAGCTTCACACCGTCCCGGTAGAAATGTGCATTAGCTACGTGGGTGGCTTCATTCGGTAGTGACGTGTGCTCACGTGAAAACGTAGATGTTTTCTTTCACCGACGCAGAACTTTCCCAAACCAGGTCGGAACGCCCGCAAATTCCATGACATTAGCATAGAGGGAGTGTTCCACCTTTCGGGCATATTTCAAAATATGCTATAGTGAAAGCCCTGGACTAGTTACGTCTGATATTGCCAGTGGGCAGTGCTGCTGCAGCACCGTCAAGACATAATGACACCTATTTAAGTTATTTCCCTGTTCAAATTACGCTATCGGGGCTTTGCAACAGCACAGCGTTTTCTTCATGCAGTCGCGACCACGGTCGTCATGACAACAACCGTACGCACCTCTACTGGTGCAAATAAAAGAAGGTTTGTGATTAGCCCAGTGGACAAGGGCCTGTTACCGAGAAGCTGGTTGGTTGAAGTGTGAAGGATTGCGTGACAGGGATCATGTGATATCCACATTCCCAAAGCCAAAGTGCGCCTCGAAAAGAGCCACCGTGTTAAACGCCGTTGGGCGGAAATCAAAGTCATAGTCTAACGTTTCGTTAAACTCGTGGGATAAAGCTTCATGTTTACATATACTTTTGTCTAATTTGCTTCAAGCTTTCGTAGCATTTATTATACAAGTATTTTGACACAGCGTGCTGCAAACAATAGAGCACGTACGTTGGAAAAAGGCAAATGAAATGTATTACTTTCAAGTGATGAGCAGGGAGACGAATGGCATTTCTTCCACAGGTTCGGCTTCTTCACATCAAGATTATGATCTATTCAGGATGTCGAGAAAACTAGTATCGCTGATCAAATCGTAGGCGCTGATGTAGCAATGCGCGCAATGTACAAATAGGTGGGATGCTCTGTTTAAGACGAAATCTTTCCGCCTCATGATATGTTATGTGATTTTCACCAGTTATCAAGTGCATAATGTAACAGTACTATAAGGCAGTGCTATAGACGTCCTTGGTTCAATGTGGGGTGTTATGTGTGTTTGACTTTAAGACATATACGTTGTCTGTGGTTTGTGCAAATTCGGCCAATCGCAATGTTGCCAGATTACCACTAGCGTAAGCAATCTCGTCATTCAACATTGGCACTTCGTGGATGGCAAGACATCGCACAAACGAGTAGCACAAATTATCAGCCTTATTCCTGAATGACCCTCAGCCACAACTTATGAATGAGAGTTAAGCCGAACTGCCTGCTTGTGAACGCATGACCACCGGAGATTTACGGTAGCTCTCACCGAACTGCGGTGCGTGGAGGGTCAAGGTTCCTGATAGGCAGCCTATCTGTCGCAAAGGTGATCCTGGCTCTTTATGAGCGAGTGAAACCTGTGATGGGCTAAAAGGCCGTATGCGATGGACTGACGCATTCTACAAAATCCTCTGTGTCATGGTATCCAGCAGAAGCCAAATTAAAAACACTTCAATCTTTGTCACCTCCTCGTTAAAAACTCCTTGCTCACCCGAGTGGCTTCCGGAGGCCGTACTCCTCGGGGCGCCACCGACTGCATGTGCTGTCGGACGCAGCGGGCGTGTTCGCTGACGCGGCGGCGTCACGCGATCCGCCGGCTGCCGCGTGACGGTGTGACACAGGACGTGCCCAGCAAGGCGGCTGGGAGCTGGGCCGCACCTGGCGGGACCGCTCGGGCAGGCAGGAAGTCACTCCCGGACATGTGAGCAGTGGGCTGGCGTTTTCCTGGCTCCATGGCGTGCATCAGGCTAGGATTTATTTGTTTATCATACACTTGACCACCCTCAACATCATGGCTGAGTGAGGCAAGATTTTAATTGGTTCGGTTCACAGTGGAGCACTTATCCAAACGTCCTGATTGTCAACGTCGCCCTCGAATTCTGTCACGATTAGTTAGCGTACCGAACCGTGCTTAGCCACCACTACTGTGACAGGATAGCGTGACACTCGCGAACTTCTGTGAAATTCCCGGCCCGATCTGCCAATGGACGGTGTCAATGGACGTCAACGGAGACACCACGCCCCAGTCGTTATTGATAAATGATTAGTCTTGTCATCATTCTCAAAATGACGACCGCCTGCAGCCTAAACAGACCACAAATCAGGAACTTTGAAAACGCTCCGGGCTAACGGCCGTGCGTGGGCCGGCGGGCGCGGCGTGTTCGACACGCCCGGCGCCTGTCGCCGGCGCCTCGCCGGTGACCCCGGCGGTGACCCCGGCGGTATGACGCCGGTCGGCGCTCAGATCCGTCACAACTTCGGACGTCGCCTTCCGGTTCACGGCCCCGCGACCGAGCTCCGATCCAGTCAGCTGCTTGCGGCGCGCAAAGGGACTTTAAAGCGCATTGCGCTGATACAGCTGTGGTTAGATCAAGGTTATGTTTATGTTAGATTAATTATAACGGCTATTTCATGACATCGGCGTGTTCTGCGTTTATGAGACACGTTGGAGAGATGATAACTGACTCACGAGATTTATCTTGCCACGCACCCGGAAAACCTTAAAAAAGATCCCAAACATTCGTCAAGTCATGCAATGGGTGCGCTTGCATTTGACATGGCAAAATCTTTAATCCTGGGGTTCGATGCAGTGTATATCGTGGCACTAGTAAGACGCAGTTGATCAGTGATAGGGATGCTGATTTTGAATTACTCGCAATTATATTATATCAACCGTTTCCACAATGGGTACCCTGCCAAATGGAATCCCTGCCTTGCGTTAGAACAAGCGTGACCTGCTGCTCGCATCAATCCACACATTGGCGGGCACGATTTTCTGCCCCTTTCTGGTCAATATGTGTAGGTCTCATTTCGCTACGATACCGGATCGTCCAGATCTGGGCCCGCTTTTGATTCCTGTTGAGTAATACCTTCTCTGTTAAAAATGTGGCACTTCCCATATCCTAGTTGAATGCTGATGTTGCGTTTTATTAAGACTGCAATGCTGCAAGAAAACCGTGTCTGAAGAAGCCGCTTGTGTGTACATGCCCTGAAATGCAAACAGCGCAGCTTTTTAACGGTCACGCTTTTTGTTGCTGAAGGCAGCAAGAATGTTGATAGAGGATCGGTGATTTTAAGGGTTTGTGTGAACCGTGACGGCCGGGCCGCTCAGAGTTAAAATCTCATCGCTGCTCAAGCGATGCCCCCGTCCTGCGGCCTCACCCGTATAGACATCTTTTGGGTCGGTTTGTCTCAGTTCTAAAGAGGGGCTGTTGTGTCCTTATTATGTTAATACATTCCGCTTAATAGATGCAGACGCTTGTTTCGCAGGTGCAGGCGTCCATGTTTCACAACCTCGAAGTGACTTTGTGGTTTCATGTCTTGGTTTTACTCCAGTGGTGTTCCCTGAACAAATGCGTGTTTAAAACCCTGTATCTGTCCCGGAAGACTAAGTCAATGGATCAGTTTGTTGTAAGCTGGCGCTAGCTTTTAAGAGATTAAGGCTGACCGGAGCGTCGCCGCACGCAGTCTCACCGTTGCACCCGAGGCTTTGCAAGGGATTCAGTCCGACCTGGTCCTCACAACCGCCACCCGGAAATCCCCTTATTTATCGCAGACGGGGTTCTAATCCGTCAGCATTTGGTGGTGTCCTCGAGCGTCCATCCCGCTGGCAGGACGGATGAGCCCTGACAAATTGTCCGGTCAGAGGCGGACGCTCTCCGGCCGGCTTTGTTCCGGCCTCCGTCAGGCGTCGAATGCCATCAATTTACGGTCGGGCCGGCTGGCGTGCGGTTCGCCGAATCCTCCGGCCCGCCAGCCTTGACTGTCGGCACGTCCCGGTCGCCACCCCGGGCGCGACCTCGTAGCACGAGGCTGAGCTGGTCGTCGCGCCGCAGCACGCCGACCGCGCCAAACACCACGGAAGCGTGCGGCGCCCGCGAGGCGAGACGGTGCGCAGGTGTTCGCCCGTCGCTGTACTGGACGCTCTTGTGGGAGAAAGCCACTTGTGCAGATGATCTGGAATCACGGTATAGCTGAGAGGTGATCGCACACTGCCAAGAGTGGTCCTTCCAAATACACATATATATATATATATATATATATATATATATATATATATATATATGCGACGGTGAAACCGCTTATATAGGCGTTATATAAAAGACATAAAAGTCATAAGAAGTGGCATAAAAGACTCTCTTCAGTGTGTATGTGAGATGGAATATAAATGCCGGGGCTTCCATGCGCCTAAACATGCCGGGGCTCCCATGCGTCCGCACATGCCGGGGCTCCTATGCGTCTGCACATGCCGGGGCTCCCATGCGTCTGCACCTCACACGCGTCTGCATATACACCAAGTCGTAGATGGCCACCTTAATTCTCCGAAGCTCTGAGGTTGAACTCGAGCCGTTTTCCGTCACTGAGACCGCACACCGCGCGCCGAGTCGCCATCACTGGCAGCAAGGCGCAGAGCGCGCAGCTTCCACGAAGTTCTTGTGCCGTACAGGCGTCTCACACCGCCCCCGCTTTTGATGCGGTGGGCGTGTGACGGCGCGTCGGTTTCCCGAAGAGCGTTGTCCCCGGGAGCCGCCCCGTCGGGCACGATGCGATGAGCCCGCTCCCCCCCCCCCCCCCCTCCCCCGGCCGGAAACGGGCGCTCCGCACGGGCTGCCTGGTGATGACCGGCGGCCTCTGTTGCGCCGTCTGACGGCCGCTTGACGGCCGGCCGGCCGGACCCGAATCTACATGAGAGCGGCGCCGGACGGGGCCGGTCGGTTCCGCACCCCTGGCCAAAGCACGCCCGTCTGGTCTGCAGATCGATCTATGACGGCGCGGCCGGCTCGCCCGCACCAGCCGCCGCTATTTTCGGAGGGCTCGAAAATCCCAGTACTTGCAAACGATTCGCCAACATTTGCAATCCGTTTCCGATGCGGCTAGTGCGTTTTACGTTTATTGTCGGCATCATGTGTTGATGCAGTTCGTTTTTCTGTTTGACGGTGGTGATCTGGCTTGTGGAGAGGCGAGGCGTAGTGGAAGCATGCTTGATTGAGCTTTGTGAGTGTGCCTTACGTCCCACTTTGACCCATCCAACATTTACGCCATGAACTGGCGCAGTCAGGTGTTGCCAAGGCCGCGACGTCTTCGATCCAGCGAAGCTGCAGCCACACGGCCTCGGAGAGCGATGACCCGTTTGCCGGCGGCGTCTCCCCTCCGCCGGGCATTAGCCCGCCGTGGCCCGGCCGTCATCGCGCCGGTCCCGTCTGACGTCCGTCCCTGTTGCAGGTGGCACGCCGTCGCTGCCGGCTGGCCTGCCGTTCCACTGTTACCGCCGCTTCCGGGGCTGCCTGCGGCGGCTCACCGTCGGCAGACACGCGGTCAACCTGGCCACTCATGTGGACAATGTAAAACTGAGCCGCTGCCCGGCCGTCTGACGCCGCCGGCTGCCGCGCGCCCCCCGCGGTGCGGTGTGACCTCACACGGTGTGACGCGTGGTGTGACGGCCGACGGCGGCTCCCGTGTGAAGCGACGGTGTCACGCCGTGCGGCGACTGCATGACGTCAGGGCGTGATTTGGACGCGCGTCGACGCCGTGTGACGAATTCGTTTGGTGTGACTCTGGGACGTCACTGCGCGAAGCTACGCCAAAGTGACGACACCATGTGAGTAGGACGGCTGGCGTGACCGTGTGAAATTGAGCCGTGTGTGAATGGCACCGTGTGACGATGTGTGAAATTGGGAAGCGTTGACGCCGTGTGGTGAAGTTGTTTGGCGAGAGTACTTGACCGTGGCTTGTGAGGGGGTATCCGCGCATGAGCCCGCGAGCGCGGCGAACTGAATGCGGTGTGGTAGTGTTTGGCGCGTGTTGTTTGTGCTCAGATGGAGTTTTTAGAAGCTGTTGACCGTACCGACCGACAACACCCCGTCTCATGTGACCTACGCTGTTAACTAATACGCTGGTCATGTTCTGTTTTGTGCATAATGCATGACGTTTGTAAATATATGTCATACGTAACAAATAAGGTATTGCAGTGAGCTTGGAGTCGAGGTGTATATCTGTAAAATGGTCGTTTTTTGGGTCGTGGTCGGAAGTAGCGAAGGATTCCTGGAGCCGACTGCCTGATACTCTTTGACATGCTAACCATACATGAACTGGCCCCCTCAGTGGCACATCCATTGACCGAAGGGAGGAGCAGATTTGACCCCCTGCTTGCGTCAAGAACGGTGGGCCGAATTGAAGTATTCAAATAGCAATTGACATCACCATGCCGTTTGGTCTCAGACCACACAGAAAACTTAAGTTCAAGTGTTTATTAAGATCACAGGTCAAGGTCAAAGTCTAAAATTTCACTTTGAATACCCGACCGCTCCCAAAAGGCATTTCATTTGAAAGCTCATTTCATGGTGTGAAAAAGATGCCCTGATCAAGCACACTGGATAGGAAGACATTCAGTGCTACGTGCGCCGCACCATGCCTAGGCTAAGGGCACGTGCCGTGGAACTGAGAGCTGAAGCCTTGGTGTGTACGCCTATTTTGGTAAATTGATTTCGGTCATATTTGAACTATCTAAACGTTGAGTGGAAGAGTTGAGCCGCAATTATGGATATCAGACACGTGATCCGGAGCGGCTACTCGTTTATACACTGTCCAAGGTCGAGGTCAAACAGATAACCTCGATGGCGAACAAGCGGTTGGATAGATTTTCGCGACGTTTTCGACGGTTAGTTCTGTCGAAAGCGCAACCTACAAACTGAAATACAAACAGCCTACAAATTACGCCCTTCTACCCCGCCGCCAGCCTCGTGGGTGTTGGTTTGCAGGTGGACCTATTGTCTCATGAGTAATGGACTCATTGGCTCAAACTTCCACTAGACAGATGTAAAGATGTACTTTGGTTTGGCTTGTATGTCAATTTGTCTTCGGCTATGCGCTTCTGTGAAAAAGAAAGCGAGCATGACGTCACCCTGACGTCACTTATGCTTGATCTATTATGGTCACGTAGCTGTTGTTTTAGCACAAGACGTGAAACTTATAAATTGATGGTTTCTGAAAATTTTGCAGCGATACCTTAAGGTTACTGTCAATTATCGCGAATATTCGACAGCGGGAGGGGGGAGATTTGACCCCCTACCCAGTCAACACCGGGTTAAGGCGCTCAAATGGTCCTATATTATAAAGGAGAGCCACGCAAGATGGCAAATACCGGGCTAAGGCGCCCAAATGGTCCTATATTATAAATAACAGCCACACAGGATGGCAAATGCCGGGCTAAGGCGCCCAAATGGTCCTATATCATAAAGGACAGCCACACAAGATGGCAAACTCGTTATGTGTTCATAATGTACTGGCGCGTCAGCACGCGGTCAGCCCCAATAGACCATCTCTCTGGGTAAATGAAGGGATGGCGTTCGGCGCTAACCCCTGCACCTTGGCGCCGAAAGGGTCGGCTATGTCTTGCTGAAGGGAATTATACATACGGTTGTGTCGTTGATAGGCTTTTTGCAAACCTGAACAAGCGCGTTCGTAGCAAGCAACCCGGTATACCAACATGGCACGATAAAACGTGGCAAATTTGACAAAGAAATACATTTTTGATTCGAATGAAACAAGCCCACCCATTTCGTGCTGTGATTAAGAACAAGCTGGCTAAGCGCTTGGTCACTGTTCTCGGGAAATAAAGAGGATTTGTTGCCTATAAAGTAAAAATCGATCGCTCAATAGTTTCTCACGCCCCTGAAGGCGTTACGCTGCCCTGTTGTCCGCCCTGCTGATCTGTGGGCTCCTCCCAGCGCATGACCAGCTCCAGGGGCCACTGCCGGATGACGTCCGCGGCTAGAGGCGAACCGACGCACCCCCCGTTTTCCTAGTGATCAGGGCTATTTAGAAATTGTCCGTGGCATGAGTCGCATGCTGTTCAACATCGTCAACGCCTACGCGACAGCGTCTCATATCAGAGATATTGATGTCCACGCTCGTGACCTCTATTTCTGAGGGAAGAGAACGGCGTTAGGAGCACTGCTATGAGCACGGTGTTCTTATGCCGACCATAATCGACCTCTACAGTGAGCTGCGGATAGCGCAGTTATTGTAGTCTGCGCGTATTCGGGTTTTCTGTACATCTCTTGTAGTTATCTATTATCGCTTTGCCTTTACTGTGTTCAATCTTGACCGACACGGCATAAAAAACAACGTGTTTCCGAAATGCAATCAATGCTTGATTGATAAGGTTTAACCAGCACTTTGTGGTGCATCGAAGGTCGATTACTTCCAGCATAAGCCCTCCGAAATCATAACGTCGAACAACCACTAGCTCCAGGCTGCCTCACCCAAATTAACACGCGCTCTGATGGGAGTCAAATTGAGCCCCGAATACTTTCCGGAGTGGTTTCCAAACGGCGCGGCGTAGCCGCGCCAAATTTTGCATAGCTGTGGACAAATGAATAGCGGATTGTCTGGCATCAAAATTTAGATGTACCTTGAATGATCGCTTACATATGGCAGGTCAAAGTCGGGCCATGGTTTCAGCGAAGGCAGTTTCTAGGGAATCGCTCAATCTGATCCAACAACGGAGTGTTAGATGAAGCCATACATCTCTGAGACGCTTTCTTAGGCAACACAACAATTAAAGGAGTACATCACATTGACCTAGGGTCAGGTATGAGGTTAGTCCAAGGTCAAAACCAACCTGTTTTATTGCTCTAGGTCTTGATGTATGTTATAGTTTTGGTGCTCATTTCAAATTTATTGATATCAGGAACCGCATTATACACCTTCTGTTGACTTTTAAAAGGCCTAAAATTACTCAGGTCAGTATTTTGTTTTTTGGAACATACTGTCTAGTGTGTTCTTTGTCGCTTATTCAAATGCAAAACTCAAAGCGGTCTTGTATTGCCACCATGACCTTCAAAAGGTCAAACAAGGTCACTGACCTTAACTGAGCATGTGACCTTTTGCTCAGAGCAGTTATCTAGGTTCTAGGTGCCCTTTGGAGACCAACGTATAATTTGACCTTATTTGCCCTTATTTGACACGATGGTCATGGCCTAGGAGCTTCAAACACTGACCTAAGTGAGTTCACGGACAGGTCAACACGCCCTGTGAATTTGGTGCCTCACGCTCCCTTAGTTCCTGAGATCCCAGGGAGGTCAAATTGACCCCCCACCCGAGCGAAGGGTATTCAACTGGCCACCCGGGCGCATAGCTGTAGACAATTGAATAGCAGATTGTTCGATGTAAAAAATCAGATGGACCGTGCAAGGTCGCTAGCCTGTGGCAAGCCAAAGATAGGCCATGGTTTCAGCGAAGTCAGTTTCTAGGGAATCGTTCAATCTGATCCAACAACGGAGTGTTAGACGAAGCCATACATCTCTGATATGCTTCCTTAGGCAACACAACAATTGAATGAGCACTGTCAGGCATGAAGATCAGACTAAGGTCAAAGCCAACCTGCTTTATTGCTCTAGGATTTGCTGTATGCTACAGTTTGTGGTACTCATTTCGAATTTATTGACAGCAGGGACCGCTTTCTACATATTTCACCGACTTCTTAGAGTTCAGAATAGGTAATTGACTTAAAATAACCCAGGTAAACATTTTGTTTTTAGGACTATACTGCCTACCGTAATCTTTGTCGCTTATTGAAATGCAAAACTCGGAGCAGTCTTACATAATTTTGGTCACCATGACCTTTAAAAGGTCAAACAAGGTCACTGAACTTGAATGAGTATGCGACCTTTTTCTTATAAGCAGTTATCTAGGTGCTGGGAGGACTTTGGAGACCATCCTGGAGTTTGACTTTGTTTGACCTTATTTGTCCAGAAGATCATGACCTAGGTACCTCAAACTTTGACCTAAGCAAATTCACGTACAGGTTAGCATACTCCGTGAATTTGATGTTTCTAGCCTTCTTAGTTCCCGAGATCTCAGGGGGACATCTACCCCCCCCCCCACACACACACCCGAGTGCCCGAGTGAAGGGTATCCAGCCGGTCACCCTGGCGCGTGGTAAGGAAGAGGACGCTGCGGTTCATCCAACACTAATTCATGCTACGTCATGCTCAAATATGCCGTCATCAAACCTGTCGTTCAGCTGCAACTGATCTTCTCTCAAGACGCAAACCGGTTTATATCAGCTGTGTAACAAGAATGCATGAGTCTAGTCAAAACAGTGGACGGTAGCTATCTTGCATCTATTTTGCATCCAGCAAGAAGAAATGAGACATTATGACTTTGCAACGGGAAACCATGCTCATCGTACATACAAATCATGTTTTAGTGTGAGAGCAAATAGGAATATCCATGCTAACTTTGTTGTACATATCCACATTTTCCCATGTTTAGTCTCAGGCTTCTGAGACTTTAGGACTTAACGGAACATGTGCTTAACTCAGAAAAGAGCCAGAGCTGTTCGCAGCATAGGACAATCATGCTCATCACTTGTAAATGTCCTCTATTGGGTACTTTCATGCGGTTTACCACGAAAACAGCCACACTCTGCTCTTTTCTGGGAGATATTTGTTTCCAAGTTTTGTTCGGTAGGCTAGATCACTTCACGGATTGAATAAGGCCAAAGATTAGGGACTTATCCACAGATTGGGCTGGAGTGAATTAAAAGCTGTCAAAATTACGGATTAAGACCGGAGTAGACCTTAACATTTTCAAGCCCACGGATTCACACGGGTTAAAAGCCATTCAAGCTACGCCATAATTAATGTTCATAAAGAAGCTCTTTTGAAACCTTGCCTGAAGGGAAAAAGGTGGTAAAATACACCTCTTTGTACCGCACAGCATCGCATGCCTTGCATATTATTTGGGGCGTCCAGCGATGCTTGGCATTGAAGCAGCGTGAACTGCAAAGAAACAATTTGTGATAGGTGTGGGTAGTTTTATGACCGGATGTTGATCTGTTTGGGCCATGGCTCTCCGTGCTGGTATTTGTATTTGATAGTGAGACACGCTTCAACGAAATTACTGGCCGTGAATCAATTGCGGTGGCTGTACAGGTCATGCAATCTCAAA